AACTAAGCTAGCTTGTGCCGGATGAATCAAAACAAGAGTCTCCTTCATTCGCGCGGTTCACCAAAATTTTGTTGAATAATTTGTACACTACGTGTAGCAAATTTTGGTGAATAATTTGTACACCACATTTAGCAAACTTGTCTTCAACTACATTAATCATCTTATTTTACTAATATCCACTCACAAATTCAAAATTAAATTCAAATATCAACTCATCCACTTTTTTCTTCATGCTCCTAAAAAATAAATAAAATATTTCAGTACATGTAGGCCCTGTGCAGCCCTGAATTTGACAGTGCATAGAAGAAACTTACAAGTGCTCTACGACAAAAAATCTCTCAGGCTCGTACAGTTGAGGACAATAAAAACAAATAAGCACTGCTCAAAACACAGACAAACATACAACTGTAATTTTAAATTTCTGAAAATAAAAAAAAAAATAATAATAATAATATAATAGGAAAATACCACAGTCCTGTTACGGAACCTTTTCGTCGGGATTTATAACCGCTAGATTATAATATAACCGTCGTTGGTAGTTGATGTAATGGTTAGAAACAAAATGGAATGGTTCCGTAACGAAACCGTATAATCTCCCAATATAATAATAATAAAATAAAGAAGAAAGAAACATAACTTTCTCATTCTCACACTCACACAGTCACACTCCATAATTCTTGCAGACAATTCAAGAATATTATTTCAAACTCAAATTTTCCAAATTTTCTGTCCCTTTTTTTTTTTAAATTCTTGAATCAAATGCCACGAGCCACGAAAAATGAATTCACAAAATCAAGAAAAACCCCAAAAAAACAGAGCAAAGCAGACACATTATCAGCTGAAAATTCCAAGAAGGGATTTTTATTCGTGAGATTTCAAGGGCTGGGATGTAAAGGGGCCTCGCTGCCGGCACCGACGCCGGCAATCGGACGGCCAGGCGGTGGTGAGTGGGAATCTAAGAGAGCAAGAAATCAGAATCCGAAGAGGAAAAGGGTGAAAAATACAAGAAATCAAGAAAATAGTGTTGTGGTTGATATCCCAGATGCTGTGTGTTGTGCTCCTCCTGGAATTGGGATTTCTTCTGATTTTGCTCCAAGACCAAGAAATATTGGCCCAAGGTCTCATCAAAGAAAGGTATTCAATAGTAATCAAATATATATGTGTGTGTGTGTGTGTGTGTGTGTGTGAGTGAGTGTGTGTGTGTGTGTGAGTGAGTGTGTG